TCCTGTTGATTCCATCTCAAAACTCTGTCCTGAATCCATCTATGTCTCTTCACCTCCACCTGCCATCACCTCTTGCCTTAACCACTACAACAGCCTCCTGTTTTTCCTGTATCTGCTCTCATATTCCTCCAAATTGATGGCCACACTGCAGCCAGAGGGGTATTATAAAAAGACCTATCTGATTCTGTCACTCTTTTGTTTAGAATCCTGGCTTCCCACTGCCCTTAAATATGTAAAATCCTTACTATGTTTTATGGGCATGATGTGGCCCCAGCTTGCCTCTACAACTTCACCTCACATCACACTCCCCCACTCCTTGCTGTCCCCACTTCTCCAGACACACTAGGTTTCACAAAGGGGCATGTGAATCCATGGCATTTCAATCCTGAATGTGCATTACCAGGCCCTTTCTATTTCCTGTCCTTGATCTTAGGCTACCTTGCTCTATTTTTGTCAGCAATCTAGAAAGAAGGTAAAGACCACCTATAATACTCCTCCCTACTCCGCATCTGAGGGACCCTTCCCCATTCTAGTTCACTTCTTAGGGCCCTGTCCAAATGTCACTTTCCCACCACCCCACACTAGATTTTGAGTTCCATGGTTATATGTTTTCTAGCACCTCTGTGCTTTTACTTGGTACACATTTCACATCTGTGGTACTTTATTCAAAATTGGTCTGTTCTGCTAGACTTGAAGCTCCAGAAGGCAGGAACTTAACAATGTATTTCTAGAGTCCCACACATACAGTGACTGGCATGTGCCATGCATGCAAACAGTTTCTAAATGAACAAACAATGGCTTTTTCTGAAGCTTTGGTGAGGTGTTTCTACCCTTCTCACGAATTAAGTGCTGGCCCATGCATGTATTTTTTTTCATCCCAGAGATTTTTTTTTTTTTAAGATTTTATTTATTTATTTGAGACAGAGAGAGAACACGAGTGGGGAGAGAGGGGCAGAGGAAGAGGGAGAAGCAGACTCCCCACTGAGCAGGGAGCCCCACACAGGGTTCAATCTCAGGACCCCGGGATCATGACCTGAGCCGAAGGCAGATGCTTTACCAACTGAGCCACCCAGGCGCCCCCTGCCCGAGACTATTTTTAACAGACCTTAGAACACACAGACCTTAGAACAACCTTATGCCTTATTGTAAAAATGTGCCATTTTTGGTAAGTTCAAAAAGAATGAAATAAGCTGTGTGTATGATATTACATATACTATGATGCTGGGTCAGACTATGACATCCTCTACACACAAGGTCTAGAAGAACTAGAATTCTCAAATGCAAGGTCCCTGTCTTCAGAGGTACTGCCAATTTCATGCGTTTTTTTAACTGAGCCACTTCATTGCTTACTGTGGGCCTTCACAGATCTTCTAATCACTGTGGCCAAGCACTGTAAGGCAGGGAAAGACAAACTATAGCTCACGCACCAAATCTACCCGCCCCCACATTTTTGTAAATAAAGTTTTACTGGAACCCAGCCGTTTGTTTATGTATTGTCTATAGCTGCCTTTGCACTCCAATGGCAGAGCTGAACAGATGCACTGAGACTGTAAGGCTGGCAAAACCTAATTTACTATCTGGCCCTTTACAGAAAAAGTCTGCTGACCTCTGTGGGATACTACCATGAAGAGGGTGCTTTCCGATATTACAGAACACAGAAGAGTTGCCCCAAGTATTTGGTGTAGGAATGCAGGCCAGGACTCTATGGAGAAGGCACATCCCAGCATGGTTGTAGCCTCCAACCACTCACTCCCTGCCCACCTCAGATTCCTCCATCTTCTTGAGCACATAACAGACAATGATCCAGATTCAGAATACGGGAAATCTGGATGTCCACATATGTGAAGGATAGAGATTATCTGTGAAAGGATAGAGATTATCACCTCAATCTGAGCAAAGCTTCAATTTCAGAATACCATCAACAGGATGAAAATGATGCCTTGGAATAAACCAAAATTGTTGACATCAAACAGTTCCGGAAAGGATACCAATACGAACACTTCACAGAGCAGAATAAACATGGGCCTGCTTTTCACTTGTTTTTGTGATTCCTATGCTTAGCGCTATAATGCAAACAAGGTTTCACAAATCCAGTAACTATTTTATCATAAAATGGATGGTTTATTTTGCTCAAGATTTTGGCTCTTTCTTGTAAAATGACAAAACTAGGCTTCTAGCTTCAAGCAGCGCTATGATCAGGACTTTCATCACGATTCCCAAGGTGCTGTGGGACAGAGGAGAGAGTATGTGCCCAGGAGGTACCATCCTCACTTCTGAACAAAAGAGATAGCACAGAGAAGGTCTGGCAATATGACCTTCAGCAAGAGCACTGAATTAAAGGCCAAACAAGCCTGTGTAATGGAGTCTGATTTTTCCCAATCCTGCTCCTCCTGCCCCAGTGTTCTTGATTTCCGTTCTCTGTACCATCAGCACCCCACTCTCTTAAGTACAAAACTCAAAGTTATCAGTGAGTCACCCAGTCTCCCTTCTCTTTCATATCTAATCATCTGCTAATTTTCTCCAATCAATTTCCTGCTCTTCATGCTTTGGTGTTATTTCTTGCCTAGACCCTTGCAGGGGGCTCCTAACTAGTCTTTCTGCCTGCAGTATCTCCCCATTAGGGAGGGTCACATTTGCTACTAGGAGAACATTTCTGGTTAACAGTTGCCATTTACTGACAATACTCCCTAGCCTGGCCTCACTGTGCCCCATGTTTGTTTGCAAAAGTGAAATGTTTACTACTTCCCCTACATGCTCTCATTACCTGGCTCTGTGCCTAGGTTTCTGCTAATCATTTAGCCTATCCTATTACCACTCTTAACTTTCATGTTTCTCATCCTTCAAAGCCTTAAATGCTACTTGCTCCACGAAGCCTCCTCATTCTCCCTCCCGCTGGCAATCCTTACCGCAATCTATCCAGACCTCTCTTATAGAGGCACGCCTCATTTTCTCACTTGGATTATAATTACGTATGTATCTGTCACACCCTTCCTGGAACAGCACTGAAACAGAATCTGCATCCAATTAATTTTTCTAACCCTATGGGACCTTTCAATAAGCTGAATGAAATTAACATATATTTCTATATCATGAACCCAATGAACATACCCATCCTCTTGTCAGCATCAAACTGTATCTCTTCTTCCTTGTTCTAAATCTGCTGCTGGAATATTTTCCAAAATCTGTACTAAGCCGTCCTGGATACTCTTTGCAGACAGATTGCAAGGCTATATGCAAATGGCTCTCTCAAACCAACGACTCTGACCTCAACTCCCTCTTGAGTTTCAGACCCACAACTTTCTAACCACCAATCTAAGAGAGATCTGGTTTGCTGAGCACTATTAACTCAAGCCAGCCTTCCAAAAAGTCTCATTATAACATGACAAAGTCTCTGGTTTGGCTACACAGTCACATTCGCTCCTAAATTCTTTCTGCCTTTGTAGTTAACATTAGGTCAGTTAAGGCACAATCTGAAATTTTCCTTAGCGAATGTTTGGCATCCTTGATTTCAGGTCGCTTTATCAATACAGGTAACTCTGGTCCTCTCTTTATGTATCATGTAGTCTAAGAGCCTTTACTCTCTACTCTTGCAAGAGTTTAGTTTCCTCGCCGACAACACCCTGTGACAATTTCTCTACCTAGCAAAGCTGTCATGAGGATTAGAAATAGCATGTAACTCAGGACCCAGGTTACAATGCCTCAGTATTAATTATCATTGTCACCATCAGCCAAGACATGTGCATGTTCCTCTGGCATGATGCTTCTGAATGGGATGATAAGAATACCCAAGACCTTTGCTGCCCTTTCACTGAATGTCCTTTTCCTGAGCTCCCTCAAGTCTATTCCTCCACATATCACAAGGCTACACTGCAGATGGATCACTGTGACCCACTGCAAAGCCTCCCTAAGATACAGAGGCCAACATTAGCCTACCATCTACAGAGCAAGGTATCTTGCTAAGTGCTTTACATAAGTCATTTCATCTAATCCTTACAACTCTGTAAGTTAGTTATTTCCACTTTATAGATGGGAAACAGAGGCTTAGGAAAGTTAAGAAACTTGTCCTAAACTAGAAAGTTGGAAAGTAGCAGAACTAGGGCACCTATAAGCCTGCATTCGTATTAGCTAGAGTACCCTGCCTTACCCCACAGACTAGAGGTCGAAACTTCCCGTGCTTTACCTCTACCTGTATAAATCAAGTCAATATTTTTTATGCCAACAGATTTTTTTTTTAATGAGTTAATGCCAGTCAGTTCATTTGTAGAGGTAGACAAAAAGTCTTAACACGGTTCTGCTTGAGTAACTACTTTGTTGCTTACTGTATTAAATTAAGATTTCTCATTAGATCCTGGAAATTAAGCCAACCCTTCACCTCTTCAAAATCGCCTTTATTGACCTGTCTACTCTGACCAATCTTCCTCTGACACGTCTTAGTAAATCCTTGTCTGACAGACTTTGCTTTAACTTACAGCTTTTCAAAAACATATCAAGTTCACTATACTTATTCCCATCTTTCTAATTAGCTGACACAGAACCAACCTCTATCTTCTAAAAATTTTTTCACAATGCCTTTTATTACTGTAAAAAAAAATGCTTTAAAAAACTTTTCAGAAAACAAAAATAAGGCAAATGATTAAATATTCAATGAGAAAGAAGTGCTTCAAAATTCAGTATTAAATACAAATACATTTATTAGCAAGAGTATTTTTGGAAAATTTTTCATCTCTGGTTCTCTCAGGCTTTAACGTAAGTAAAATAATTTAAAAAGTAAATTAAAAGTTCTTTTTAAAATAAAAAAGTAAAAAAAAAATTGCTCAGCCCATCAAAAATAAGTAAATAAAAGTAAGTAAATCAATTTTACCAAGCAGTAGCCTCTGTGAATCACTAGTTTGAATTATCCACATCTCTAGTAACCTGTATACTTAATTTAGACTCTGTTAAAGGAACAAACAAAATCAATCAACAAATTGGGCAATTAATGGTAAATAACAGTGACTTACCTACTTCGGTGAGTTGATGTCTTTCTAGTGTTAAATTCTTTGGGTCCTTAATAAAATGAAAGGGTTGTATTTTTATTCCTTCAATTTGAGGGAATAATAGAGCAAAACCAGACTCTCCAATTTCTATTTCCTGAGGTCGATTGTTACCTGATCCCATTGGAGTCACTAGGAAAAAAGTTAAACAGTTTCATGAACAGATTTAATAAAAACTGAAGTTTCATTTGGTAACACTTCATTTGATATGTATCCAGCCCCACCTGGGTAACTGCAGTTTGCATAACTGAGATAATCAAGTTAAAAGCTGAGTAAAAGTTTGTCAGCTTTGAAATTTTAGGGGTAGTGTCATGATGTCTGCAATCGACTTTTAAACGGTTCAGAAAGAAATGTTTTTATAAACAGAAAAAGAAGCAACTGTTGCAAAAATTTTTAAACTGGTCAATCTCCAAAAGGAATATGGATGTTTACTATTCTATCATTCTTCAACTTTGAAGATTTGAAGTTTTTCCAAATAAGAAGCTGGGGGTAAAAAAATACATCACAGCAATTCTACTTTTAAAAAATTATCCTACAAGCTGAGGGTTGCTGGAGTGGTGGGGGAGGGAGGGATGGTGTGGCTGGATGACAGACACTGGGGAGGGTATGTGCTATGGTGAGCACTGTGAATTGTGCAAGACTGTTGAATCACAGACCTGTACCTCTGAAACAAATAATACATTATATGTTAAAAAAAAAAAAAATAGTGGGAAGGGAAAAATAAGGGAAAAATAGTAGGAAGGGAAAAATAAGGGAAAAAAAGTAGGAAGGGGAAAAATAGTAGGAAGGGAAAAATAAGGGAAAAATAAGGGGAAAAAAAGAGGGGGGGACAAACCATGAGAGACTATGGACTCTGAAAAACAAACTGAGGGTTCTAGAGGGGAGGGGGGTGGGGGGATGGGTTAGCCCAGTGAGGGGTATTAAGGAGGGCACATATTGAATGGAGCACTGGGTGTTATACGCAAACAATGACTCATGGAACACTACATCAAAAACTAATGATGTAATGTATGGTGATTAACATAACATAATAAAGTAAAATTTTAAAAAAATTATCTTAAAAATACTGACAAATGTATAAAGTATGTGTGTGTGTGATATATATGCACACAGTACCTTTATCACCAAATTAAAAAAAAAAGAAATGAACAGGCTGATTCTAAAATATATGTGGAAATGGGAAGAACCTAGATAGCCAAAACAATTTTTAAAAGGAGCATCGAAACCTACACTAATCAATCTTTAAAAAGAATATCAGGACCTACAGTAATATGGCCTTGGCTTAAGGATAAACAAATATATCAATGGAACAGAATTAAATCCAGAAACAGACCTACCAAACATGCAATTATTTTTAACAAAGGTGCCAAGGCGATTAGAGGAAAGAAAAATCTTCAACAAAGAGTGATGAAATAAGTGGATAACATATGAAAAAACAAACAAAAAACCTTAAACCTCTACCTTATGCCATACACAATAATTAATTCAAGTTAGGTCACAGAACTAAATAGAAGAGCTAAAACCACATAAGAGAGTATCTTTGTGACTTTGAGATAGGCAAAGATTTCTTGGAGAGGACATAAAAAACATTCACCAGAAAAGAAGAAAAATAAATAAACTGGATTTCACCAAAATAAAAGTTCACTGGTCATCAAAGACACTGTTGAGAGAAAGAAAACCAGCAACAGACTGGGAGAAAATATTTACAACACCTATACTTGTAAAGGTCTTGAATTAGAATACATAAACAACTTCAACTCAAACATAAAAACAATCCAATAAAAAAAAATCACTAGAAGACTTGGATACTTCACAAAAACAGATATACAAATAGCCAACATCGGAAAAGATACTCAACATAACTACACTCATTGGAGTAATTCAAATTAAAACCACCACAAGAAGCCCCCTTATACCCACTACAATGGTTAAAATGAAAAGACTCATTTGAAGACACTAAGTGTTAGTGAGGATATGTAGCAATGAGCAACTGAAACCCTCATTCATTGCTGGTGAGTATAAAACGGAACAACTCTGGAAAACAGTTTGGCAGTTTCTTACAAAGTTAAACATAAACCAACCCCAAGACCCATCTCTTCCAAGAACAAACCCAGGTCCACAAGAAGACTTACATAAAAATGTTCACAACACGGGGCGCCCGGGTAGCTCAGTCTGTTACAAACAATCGACTCTTGATTCAGCTCAGGGTCCTGGGATCTAGCCCCGTGGGCTCCCTGCTCAGTGGGGAGTCTGCTTCTCTCTCTGTCCCTCCCCCTGGCTCTTGCTTGCACTCTCTCTCTCTCTCTCTCAATAAATAAAATCTTAAAAAAAAAAATGTTCACAACAGCATCATTCAAAATAGCCAGGAATGTGAATCAATCCAAATCTCCATCAAAGATAGAGTGGAAAAACAGTCTATTTATATAACAGAATAATACCGAATAATTTTTAAATGAATTACTGATACACAAGGTAACATAATTTCAAAAATATGTTGTTAAAAATATTTATACGGAGTAAAAACTTAGCCAAAACATAAAAAGAGTATATACTGTATGGTTCCATTTATATGACATTCAACAATAGGCAAACTAATGTATGGCTGCAGAAATCAGAACTGGGGTTTCCTTTGCAGGCAGAGATCAACAGGAAAAGGACATGAAGGAACTTCCTGAGGTGATGGAAATATTCTCTATCTTGACTGGCGTGTAGGTTACATAAGGGTATACATTTGTCAAAACTCATTAAATTGTACACTTAAGATTGTGCAAGTCACTGGAAGTAAAGTTCACCTTAAAAGAAAGATAATGACCTCTGTACATATAAGAATGAACGAATTTTCTCAAACCTTAAGTTTTTTGAACCTAAAGAATGGAGATGGGCCAATAGCCAATGGCTGTTTTAGAAACAATCACTACACTGTGGCCTAAGAAAAAGGAATCCAACCAACCGTCTTGGTGGAAGTTTTGTTGGGACATGCGTGGAACTGGCTCAAAGAAAGTACCCAGCTGCAGGGCAATCAAAACCAGTAAGCGTGTCCAAGAAAACACAAGCGGGAATGGGACTGGCACCTACTCCTGACACCAAGATCATAAGGGAACTTGGAACAGACAAAATTAAAATTCCTTCAGAGTAAGGCAAGCACAAAAGGAAGGCTTAAGGTAGACCCCCCACCCTCACAATAGGGTCCTCCCCAAGTCCACCCTCCCTCCTCTGCCTCCAACCCCCAGCTGAAATTTTAGAAAGGAGAAATGTGAATAGGCTTTGAAAAAGCCAAAGGGGGTGAGGTAGTGAGGCCTAAGAAAATGATGAAGCTACTATTCTATATAAGCATTTGCTAACAACCAGTAATGGCAAAACCTAGATGACTCATTTAAGGAAAATTCAAAAGTTAAAAGAAAACCATGGTTACTGTTATCATTTTTTTTAATCCAATGAGAAATGAAATGTGTAGTGAGAGGCAGATGTAATAGTATGGGGTGGGGAGCTGATAATGGGAGAGATGAAATAGTCCCCATCAACCAGGTATTTACCCTTATTCATTTGTAAACACTTGAAATCCTTTGTACTTCACCGTATAAGACTCTTATTTCAGATCAAAAGTCTCTCAGTGAAGATTAAAAATGCCAATTATGGAGTACTACTGAGTGGAACAAAGAAAATCCTAATAGCTAACATTTACTCTGATTCCTGCACATCTCTACTCTGACTACTTTTCATGTGTGAACTCATTTCATCTTCATAACCTTCCCAAGAGGGATTATCAATCATCTCTATTTCATATATGGAGAAACTAAAGCCCTCTGAAGTTAGGTAACTTGCCCAAAGTCATACAGAGAGATACTAAGTACAGCTGGGATTCTAATCCTGGCACCTGACCCACTGCACCATGACTGCCTCAATAGAGTATCTCTCCCCTATGAGCTATAGAAAAGAACCAACAATAATAAAAACCAGTAAAAATCACCAGCAGCAAACTTGGGAAGGAGTATAATTTCACACTATAAACTTCAAACCATGGTCTCCAAGCAGAGAAACAGAAATTTCCTAAGAAGGTCTACTGTAGCTCCTAACCCCTGCCCGCCAGAAACGAGGATACTGAACTGACTAACGTGAGAATGCTCACTTAATGCTTTCTAATTTGGAGAGAGGGAGAATGTGAGCTTTTCCTCTCTTATGAATGGCTCCCCTGGAAAGACATGCATCACATTTGGTTTATATAGACAGCCCTGAGACTGGGAATACTAACCACAATAACCTAAAGAACACTAATAGAAGTCAAATATAATACCATGGTAAATACGACTAACTTTATGGCATTTTGAATGGCCAAAAATATAAATGTGTTTTTAAGCTACAAGTAATTCACCCATCTACGGGACCCCACATTACTGCAAGGCAGGAAATCATCAAATTGGTATTTTCTCTCACCTACAATTCCTGGGGTCACAATCCCAAGGACTTGGCATTGTTTTGGGAATAGCTTCTCAAGGGCAAATGCTGCTTCCATAGTAGTTCTTTTCCTTGCTGTAATAATACAGTAGCAAAATTATTACATGTTATTCATTTTAGGTCAAATCTGATTGTATGGGGGGGAAAAGCAAACACTGAATAAAGTTTAAGTCATTTACACCAGAGTGCTTAAGAAAGTCAATGGGGCCCCTGGGTGGCTCAGTCAGTTAACATCTGACTCCTAATATCAGTTTAGGTCTGGATCTCAGGGTTGTGAGTTCAAGCCCCGTGTGGAGCTTACTTCAAAAAAAAAAGGCTTAAAAACTTTGATGAAAACATTTTCCCATTTGGGGCCTGTTTTATATTTTAAATTCTAAATCTGACCCTTAGCATCACCAATTTGCCTTTCTTGCTTGGTTCATATACTGTTTTTGCCCCAGTGATGTTAAATTTAGCAGCAGCAGCAAAATTTTAACTTGCTGTTGTTATCTCTCTGTTTAGGTGATAGTAGAGCATGACTTTTTCATTGCATAAGCAACAGTCACCTGGATTCAGATTAGACAGTGATAACCCAGGTCTAGCTCTGGGCCTCAGTGTGCTCAGCTTGGGACACTTGGTCTACTTCTTCTCTTAGCAGAGTCAAAAACAAGGCACAGTATAACTTCCGTGTCCCTAAATGGGTCCCCATCACACAATAGAAGGCTTCAATAGCCAAAGAAATGCCTGGAGTATTAAAGTAGTTCAAAATGAGAAAGACATCTTTCTAAAGAATTTGTTTTAACTGTACTACTGCAAGGTTTAGAAATCAATCTTTGAAGCAGAAAGGGCCCCTCAAGTTTCAAAGACAATATATTCATGCATGCTATAATAGGGAGAAGGCCCAGAGCCTCAGAAAGTCAGTAACTCTCAAGACTAGGACAATATTTAATTCCAGAGGTACATAAGGAACAAAAAACCCACAAACCTTTTCTTTTGATATTTACCTCTCTTGTGGCCACGACACTCTTCCAGATTAATGAAAGTTTCGGAGTCAGCCATGTAAAGAACTGTCTGTGGTAAGATGTGAACATTCTGCTAAGAAAAACAAAAACGGAATTAGATCACATGAATCCATGAGTGCTCTCATGGTCCCTTAAAGTTCTGCCCTGGTCCAAACTGCTGTCGGCGTACCCTCCCTTTTTAGGTCAATGTTAGCTTTCTGAGTCCAACCACTTCCCATTCATTTTTCACTCATGCTCTTACCTTTTCAGGTCATTCATTTGAGCATCTATTATTTCTTCAAGTCAAACCCATTCCAGCCTGATTCAAAAGTTCATTTTCATAATTTAAACTCTTAAACCAAAACATTAAATGCCAGCAAAAGGTGCTACTTGCTTTATTTGAATAGGCACCACAATCACAGAAAAACCTCAGCAACAAAGGGAAGGCATACAAACTCTATCACTCCTCTTTTCATTGCCCACCAAATGAAATAGGCCAGGCCTTCATTTCCACCTTACCAACTAGCTCCCTCCAGGGACCTTTTTGCTTACTTTAATCCAGACACACACGCTGCTGTACAGATTCTCCTACAGCTCTCTTCATTTTGTACTTAAGACTGTTTCCCCCAAGAGACCCCTTAAAGTGCCACCTCCCCTACAAAACCTTTTCTGAGACACCTGCAGTACCCTGGACCTCATATGTGACATACCTTACATCCCAGTCATTTGTACTTGTGCCTCACGAGCTGGGCTTATTCAGACTCCTGTTTTCCACTAAATGTCACATTACAGACAAGTGGCAACATGGCTGAATGAAACACAAGGATGAACATATTTTTTTCCTAAGCTGGTTATTTTCAAATATTTTTACTGTCAGAATGGAATGAAGTACTCACATATAGTAAAGCCTCAACGTGGATTAAATGGAAAAAAAAAAAGTTCATCCACTGTAATTTGGGGGAATGTCAAGATGTTTCAGAGTAGATTCCATATAGACAAACTCAAAAAAGATACTGAGACAGAATGATGACCCTGTGGTGGCTCCAGGGCTGATAACTTATGGATATAGTTCTCATGGCCCACACAGCATTTCGAAGAAAATAATTTGGTTACCAATTATTTCAAATTCCACAAAATAGTTACAGAAAATGTGGACTTCCAGATTCTTTTCAAAAACTAGACATTCTAACACCACTTCAACTGCATTCCTCTTGATGGGGGCTAAATGCAGGCAAGTACTCCCTGGTATGCCATGGCTTTACTGCTCCCTATGTTACCCTAAACCAACTTAGTCATCTGCCTAACTTTGGAGTCATTGAGTTTGTGATATCTGGTATAGGGAGTAATAAGATAAAAAGTCTAGTCCTGAGGTTTTATAATTCTCTCTTTCCTAGTACCCAATGAAAAGCAATTGCTGAGTCTTCCTTCCTAATTCTCATCAGAAGCAGTGACAATGACAGTCCTCAATAGGAAATGTTCTTAAAGCACAATGTGAGACAACTAAAACCTCATTCCATCATTCAAAGAAGTTCCCAATTTCATAAAATTTTTAGTGGACTTTAAAATCTTTCTAATAAAAAAGTTAAACCACCTTTCTTTACAGTTATAATAGTCTCATGTCCATTAGGTAATTTGGCAAGCACAAAAAAACCAGCATGATTTGTACAAGGTATTTCCATGTTTTTGTCTAACCACATTAGCGTTTACTAGAATAAATTTCTTTAAGGGCGTTACTATCTGAATTTTAATAATGACACTGATAATAGAGAATAATTTCATTTATTGAAAACATCATTATCCCTGGTACTGCAGGTAATATATTATATGCATTACCTTTCCAAGATTTAAACCTTAGAACAACTCTTAAAGGGTATGAGGAAAATTCTTATTGTCTTTTCATTTTATGGAGATAGAACCTGAAGCTCAGAGAGATTAGGTAACTTTTTCAGAGACTGGCAGCTAATATGCACCAAAAATGAGTTCCTATCTAAATCTGTGTGGCTATAACAGCCATTTTATTGTACAAACTTTTAAAGCTATATAAAAATAATACCTGCCGTGGTAAAAATTTGAAGGGAAAAAAAAAAAAACCACAGAAAATAATTTAAAACGTTAAAAAAAAATCATGCAATTCTACCCTGAAAGGAAACTTTTGCTAACATTTTAGCTTATTTCTTTTCTGTTCTTCCTTTTTTGTTTTCAGTAACTCAGATTATAGTAAATATAATTTCATAATCTGCCTTCTTCACTTATGACATGAACATTTTTTTCTTGTCACTAATGTATCTTGCAGTTCATCATTAAGTGACTTTATTTCTAAATATTAGGTTATTTTCAATTTCCCTTATAATAAATGATGCTGCAAAGAACATCTTTATGGAAGTCTGTCTGCATTTCGAATTTCTCCAAATGACAACTTCTAGACTAGACTGGGAAGGATTTGAGCCAAAATGCAAAGAAGAAAGTTTTCTGCAAGCCTGCCTTTGGATACTGTCCACTTCGGGTCTGACTCCTAGAACCCAAACAGAGTAAGGAGAAAATAAGGGGGAAACACAAGATTGGTCAGTTATGGGGCATTTGTCTAATACCTACATATTAAGAGTGATGAGAGTCAGGTTTCTCACTCTCCAAAAGGTAGGTACAAATATGACCTAAGAGAAAAGAAAACTGGAAAGAATCCTGTGTTGGACTGGAATTGGATGTACTTGTGCAAACTCATGAATTTCCATATATATAAAAATATAGTTGTAAAGGTGTGTATGTATGGATGTGTGTGTTGTGTGTGTATATGCATATGTACACACAACACACACACATACACATATATTCCTTGGCTCTGTTCCACTGGGCTCCAGAGCAGCAAACCCTTTAACAGCAATGAGCTGTCCAGATCTTGGCTTTTAAATACCATGAAATACCATTCTCCACTAAAAGGAACCAGAGCTCTTTAAAGAAATGGCTGATTCCAGGATTAAAGCAGACAAAAGATGAGCTTAGAACATCTTGTGCCAGTAAGCAAGGAGGTGCTCAAAGGTGATGGACTCATCTCTAAAAGACCGTGAAACCAGCTGAAGGGGCTCCTGATTGCCAAACTGGGGACAATTCGGATATCAAAATAAATACTGATAGATTATATTCCATTGAATAAAATAAGAGACTAAGAGAGTCTGCACAGAAATAAATGAAAAAAACTGAAACAGAATATTTACATAGTTTCAAAGTCTCTCCTCACAAAATACTAATTACAGTGGAAAAGAGTAATTTTACAGGAGTGACATCTGGCACACACCACCTTAATTAAATTATCAAAGGTACTAACACCAGTAATGGGACAGAAATGGAAATCACATACTACCTGATAGGATGAAACTAGAAGAGCACAGCATCACTTCTGTGATATTCCTGCCAAAGATATATAATCTGAATCTAAGAAACTGTGTTCTACAAAGTAACTGGCCTGTAATTTACATACTTGTCAAAGTTGTGAAAGCCAAGCAAAGCTTGAGAAACTGCTCCACGTCAAAAATTAAAGAAATGACAGGGGTGCCTGGGTGGTTCAGTCGGTTAAGCCTAGAACTCTTGATTTCGTCTAAGGTCATGATCTCAGGGTTGTGAGATGGGAGCCCAATGTCCAGCTCTGCACTCAGCGCGGAGTTTGTTTGTCCCTCTCCCCTGGCTTGCTCGCTCTCTCTCAAATAAATAAATAAAGTCTTTAAAAAAAAATTTTTTAAATGACCAAAACCAACCCAAGAGTCTAATCTGAATTATTTTGTTATGAGGAACATGGGGGACATATGGGACAACTGGCAACGTCTGAAAGGATTCTGAGGAATGGATAACAGAAATGTATCAATAAGAATTTCCTGACTGATGATTGCATTGTGATGATGTAGAATAGTCTTGTGTGTAATGCGCACTAAAGTATAAGGAAGCGAAAGAACATGAGATTGATAATTTACTCTCAAAGAGCTCTGTCCCACTGGCAAACGAGATACCACAGCCTTACAGTCACCTGTGCTCAAGAAGGCTGCCCCTTTGATTCCACAGTTCAAGTCATTACCTCCCCAGGTTTTGCCCATCTTTTGAAATTGGGGGACCAGAGATACAAAACAAAAGAGTACAGGACCAGCGGCTGAAATATTTGGGTTTAAGTATTGGTTCTTGGCTTTTTAATGTGACGCTAAAGCAAAAAGAAACCCAGCTGCCTTCCCTGCCAAACAGTGACAACAATATCTGCTTCAAAGGAAGCAGGTAAAGGGGAGGTCCTCCACAACGTTATTATAATAGTAAAAATCTGTATACACAAAATGCCCAACATCTGAAGAACGGTCAAATAAATCATGGCACATCCTTACGTGTGTTTATAAAACCTTTTCGTGTCACGAGAAAATGTTCCGTAATTTAGAAAGAATAGGATCACACACAAAATAAAGATTAAAAAGAAAAAGATTGAGTTCGCAAAGGCTGACCCAACAACCCCGCAAAGAACTGTGCACCACACGCCTTCTTACTTGCCTCAAGCTCCTCTGCTACCACGCGCACCAAGCAATGCTCCTCCAGGTGGCCAGCATCCGCCAATCCCGCGGAGATCCAGGTCACACTCCGATGCGTCCGCAACACTCGACGAACACACTCCCTCCATAAGCGGCACACGCTGGGGGCGCAAACCACAAAGGGTTGTGAAGGGACGTTCATTCCCCTCTCCAGCAGGAGATTCCTGCGGGATCAAAAGCCCCAGAGCGGGAGGTGTCGGGGCGCAGATTCGGAGGGAGAACCGGGGGGCGGAGAAAACCTTAGGGCGCACCTCGCCCCTGGGGGAAGAGTCCCCGAGACAGGCACAGGGGTACGGTAGGCGGATGGGGGCATCACCTCGGGGGAGGAGAAGGGAGCCGGGGGCAGCCGTGGGTACCGATGGTGTCTGCCCGCCCCGCCAGCCAGGGCAAGCCCGAGGCATGTCCCGAAGTAAGCTTCCCGCCTCCTCTCTCCTCACCCTGCTACCCGCAGCAACGCCTTGGCGGGCAGGAAGGTGAGGACACGCTCCACCACCTCCGCTAGGTTACCCAACACAAAGGTGCTCTGTGGGTCCGCGGAGGAGCCTCGGCGATCACCACCACCATGATCACCACAGCCACCCACCACCTCCATTCCTCACCAACCCCGCCGAGCAAGCACTACGGCTACTCGGAAGGCACTGGTGAGGCCGGCACCAGACCTCCCAGCCAGCGCGCACTGAGCAGGCGCGCGCGCCACTTCCGGTCGGTTGGGGGCGACTGGGCGGCTGAGACCCATCCACGTGACTCCAGGCCCAGCGGTTTCCTGCGTCTGTCTCGCGGAGGGCCGGCTGGCGCTGGGAGGTGGTGGGCTTGCGTCCGTTGATCCTTCCGGTACTTTCTAGGCCTCCTGGGGGCATAGATCCTCCTGTGCGTCTCGCTGTACTTGCCGCGCTGTATTCCTTTTTATTTATTATTTATTTGACAGAGACACAGCGAGAGCAGGAACACAAGCAGGGGGAGTGGGAGAGGGAGAAGCAGGCCTCCCGCGGAGCAGGGAGCCGGATGAGGGGCTCGATCCCACGACCCTGAGATCACGACCTGAGCGGAAGGCAGATGCTTAAGGACTGAGCCACCCAGGCGCCCCAGCAGCGCTGTATTCCTTGTCGGGACACATCTTTCTCAGATTCTTGAATTCTAGGAGACCCAGTAGTATTTGTCCGTCCTTGCCTGATTTTTGAACGGGCAGTATCTGCTTTAAAAATAGCTAGGCTAAGTGTGTGAAGATGACCACCTATATTCGACACCTAGTGAATGTAGTTAACTCAAGGTAGCCCTCACGCCCTGTGTGAAACGACATAGCACCTACCACTGCTGTGAAAACTTGCACCAAACTGCACTAGTTCTTCATAGTAGCAACAGATTCACCGGTAATCATGAAGTTTGGGCTTTAAAAATTTTTTGAGAGAGCGCGGGCGGGCTCACAAGCAGGGGGAGGGGCAGACGGAGAAGCCGACTCCCCGCTGAGCAGGGAGCTGGACTGGACTCCAGCTGGATCCCAGGACCCAGAGATCATGACCAAAACTGAAGGCAGCCACTTAAATAACTGAGCCACCCAGGCGCTCTTGGCTTAGTTTTTTATTGAAGTGTAATTGTTAGTTTCAGGTTTATGACATAATTCAACAATTCTATACATTACTCAGTGGTCACCAAGATAAGTGTACTCTTTAATCCTCATCACCTAGTTCACCTATCCCCTCCCCCACCTCCCCTCGGGCAACCACTAGTTCTCTGTATTTGAGTCTTTTTATAAAATTTGTTCCTTTTGCTTTAATTCCCACACAAGTAAAATCACATGGTCTTTGTCTTTCTGACATACTTCACTTAGCATTATGTCCGCTAGGTCCATCCATATTGTTGCAAATGGCAAGATCTTTTTTTCTGGCTGAATAATATTCAATTGTATATAAATACCACTTCTTTATCCATTCCTCTATCAATGACACGGGTTGCTTCCCTATCTTGGCTATTGTGAATAAAGACTGCGATAAACAGGGGTGCATAGCTTTTCAAATTAGTGTTTTTTCTTTGTGTAAATACCCAGTAGTATAATTACTAGATCATATGGCAATTCTATTTTTAATTTTTTGAGGAACTTCCATACTGTTTTCCACAGTGGTTGCACCAGTTTGCACTCCCACCACCAGTGCACAATTGTTCCTTTTTCTCCACATCCTCACGAACACACTTGTCATTTCTTGTGTTATTTAGAGCCATTCTGACAGGAACAAGGTGGTATCTCACTCTAGTTTTACTTTGCATTTCCCTGATGATTAATGATGTTGAGCATCTTTTCATGTGTCTGTTGGGTTTTGGCACATTCTTGGTCCTTAACTCCAGGCGTACTGAATCCGATTCTGGGGGCAGGGCCCAACAGTCTGAGTTTTAATTTTTCTGTGATTTATGCTTTCCTGTTATTCTGATGCAAGTTCAAGTTGAGAACCACAGATAGAAGGAATGTAAGCACAGCAGACACTGCTGTATCCCTACTTAACATCCATTTCTCCTGCTGCTTCCTTACTAACAAAGCCCACATTTGATCCCCATCTCTCTTTTTTAAAGATTTTGACAGAGAGAGAGAGCACAAGCAGGGGAAGCGGCAGGCAGAGGGAGAGGGAGAAGCAGGCTCCCCACTGAGCAAGTAGTCCGATGTGGGGCTCGATCCCAGGGCGCTGGGATCATGACCTGAGCTGAAAGCCGTCGCTTAACCGACTGAGCCACCCAGGCGCCCAGATCCCCATCTCTTGAAGGTAAACTTGATTATCTAAACTAGTGGGTCTCAAATATTGTGGCCTCAGGACTGTTTCACATTAAATAATGACAACCCCAAAAAGCTTGTTTATGTGGGTTATGTCTATTAGTATTTGCCGTATTAAAAATGAAAACATTTTAATATTAATTCACATAAAATAGTAAAACCAGACTAACAAAGATTGACAAAATTTTCATGAAAAAATAGCTATGGCCCCCTCATCCAATAGTGAACAGCTGTGGCATCGCTTTATATTTTGTAAACTTATAATTTCTGGCTTAAAAGAAGACAGCTGGCTATGCTTCTGAATTCCATCTGTTGTACCATCACATTGTGTGACCTCTGGAAAAGTCTACTGTATACTTGTAAGAAAATGAGAGTGAAAATGGCAAATGTTTTAGGAAAATAATTTTGACCTTCTAAAAACCTCCTGGAAGGGTCCAAGGGGTCTCCAGAGTTCCCCAAACATACACTGAAAACCACTGGTCCAAACTAATCATAATGATTTCATTCTTTTTATCAGCCACTAGGTAAGGGGTGGACACAAGCCCCAGTTCTAGCCAAGGAAAAGTGAGGAGCAATATGCTTGGGTGGGCGGGGGAGGCTTCTAAAAAACAAGACCATTATCTACCTCTGGACAGAGTAACACGGCTACATATCCAGACATAACATTAAATCCAAAGATGAAGCCAACATAGAAAAATCTCAAAGCAGCATAGCAGAGCCCAGATGTACCAGGCCTGGAGTTTTCAGACTTCAGAATTTCTTGTATGTGAGATAACTTGATAATTGTGTGTAAGGAGGCCATGGAAATACTAAAGGAGCAGACTATTGTAACTGGGGGAACTAGGGACAGCTATGGAGAAAGCAGCACTTGGATTTATATTAAGGAACGAGAGCGGGAGAAGGAAAAGGTTGAGGAAAACCCGAGTATACCAAGTCTGTGCGCACCATTTCTGGGTTCTCTAGCTTTCTCTTGTTCGATCAATCTGCCTCTGCTCCTCTCAACCCTCTCCTCACCTCGTCCCCCCATATATAAATCCTATTTCAAAAAAATTCACTCTTGCCTTCAGGTGTTTGTAAGCTCTATTATCTCTTATGAGGGAAAAGTAACAAAGTTATTTTTTAAATGGTTCTTTATTCATAAACTTGATGCAAGTTTACAAAATTTACTGTACATTGCCAAATAAATCTGCAATGAAAAATAAAACCCCCCAAAAAACAAAGCATGCCAAATGTGCAGCTGTCAATCTGCTAGCCATCAGGATATTAAAGAATTCAATAATGTATTCAAGATTTAGCCTTAGGTTTAAGGAACTTTAATGCTTTAAAGAATTCTGCCTAGTCACTTATTATCTCAGCAACTGGCAATCAGAACTTTATACAAATGTAACCAAGTAAACAAAAATGCCAGAAAATCTTTTTCTACTGTCCTCTTAACCAAAACAGAACAAAAAGAAATTAAACACACAATAATGCAGAAGTGCCAAGTTCCTCTGATGTGGTTTACAAAGTTAAAAATTGAAACTTAGAGCAAATGCATAGGAAACACTTTTGAATTTTGTAACTTGTTTGTGCAGAAAATGTGCTTCTGGATTTCATTTTAAAAGTGCTTAATAACTAGAATTTACTTTTAAATCAAACTGGGGTAGATAAAAAAAATCTATCACCAACCAAACAGGACTGATTCAGGTAAGGCAATAAAATGGAGGTACACTGATTTGCGTCAGGTTTTATAAAAGAATGAACATATGTAGAGTTCCTATTAGTCTTTCAATGCAAAAGCCACTGTTCGACTATAGCAAAAATTTTAAGAGTCTCCAAATTAGGTATCTTTTTGTACTTTACTGTGCAGCTTTTGCTCAAGGATTCGGTCTTTGTGCCAATCACTTTACAAGTTTATTAGTTTAAAAATGATTGCAACATCCCGTTAATAAAATGGAAACGTAAAATAAAAATGATTTAGTATTTTAAATAACTTCAAGCTCTATACTGCAGTTCTTCATATGAAATACTGAACCAACAAGAAGCAGATTCAGCCCAGCAAGACTCTGATGCCCCAGTGGAAATTACTACTTAATTTACACAGCCTTGCTTTGCTTTGCCTAAAAAGTACAATACAACTCAATTAAGAGCATATCTTCGGGAAACAATTCATATCTTCACCTAGCCATAAAAAAGTTTAACAATTTAATAAGTAGGCTTCCTGTCATTATTTTGGCAATATCAAAAAATGGTTTTAACTTGAAAAGGCTACTGTTATTTAGAAGACCTTAAATTTTCTAAACCAATATTAAACATCAATTAAACTTTTATTGGCTCTAAATGGAACAGTATATTGCAAGTCTTCATAACACATGAGCTCAATATGGGAAAGTTACCAGAGTTGCAACTTCTGTAACTTGATGCTGACTTGTCTGCTTGACAGATTTTTCAAGAAAAAGAGATCATGAGTGCCCAGTAAGTGTATTTATCACAAAAAATACAGTAAAGGCCCCACTGCTCAGTCCAAGATATGTAAATGAGCAAAATGAAAAGGCTGTAACTCATACTGGATGTCAATTGACAGATTATCCACTAAAATATCTATTAGCTAACGTCTTCGGTACTGCTGTTATAGGGGCACTCAAAGCTTGTGTCTGCATATTGGAAAGATTTTCTTTAAAGCAACATTGGTCCAAACATACGGCAGTCAACATATTTAGCCATCTTCCTTTGGAGGGGTGTACCAGCCTGAAACACAATGGAAAAAAAGTTAAAATACCTTAAGTCAGCTAGAAGAAATGGCATTTCACTTAAGGTTAGCTACTTCCTCTACTCATATTTTCTTGTTTAAACCTGTTGTAAAAATTAAACTTAAACTTGGGTTGGTGATACAGCGTTTTGATACGTGCACAACATAAAGTTATTTTCTATGAATAAATTGCACTTGAGTCTTCAACATAAGATCTCTATACTAATCGAACTTCTAGCTAAAGATAATAGCATGGAACAACAGCCTACAAGCCAGGTTTTACCTTCCATTTCAATTGCGTAAAAGTAAACCTCACTGTAAATAACTATCCCCCAAACAAAATGTTGGCATTTTAAAAGAAGAAGAACCTGGACTATCAGTGGTATAATGATACCATTTCACCAGTGAGGAAGCACCTCAGCGAGTGCGGCGACTGTGCCTGGGATCAGAGTTAGCAGCAAAAACCAACCTAGAACCCATTTCCTTATTCTGAATCTACTGCTCTTTCTCCAAAGCTGAACTGATACACACCCACACTTTCTAAAATACATTTCCATAAACATTTTTGAATGCTGACTACAATGTTTGCTCCAACAAAAATTAAAAAAAAAAAATGTGATTGTTTCCCAGGCAACAAAAATCTAAGCTCTCTATAGAAAGGCTAATGAAACGAAGTACTGCTTAGCATGAAATGGCTATTGGGAACAGTGTGAATATACCAAGATATATGGAGCATCCACATGGTTATGAAGTAGTATACAGGTACCTGTGGATCTACTAATTTAGTGTGCTGTGAATTATTACTATGAAAACCCAGCCTTGCCCTCAGGTTTTATCATTTCCTTCTTCAGAGGCTTGAACCGTTTCAAATATTATTCTTTCAGAAATAGTCACTGAAAAAGTGAAGAGTTTGGTTTGTGATTAAAATAAAAGTGAGCATAAAGCACAAATATTAAGTCACAAGCTTCTACATTTCTAGTAAAGAACACTTTACTATAAATAGTTTCCTTAAAGAAAACTACTTCCTATTTATTTACTCTGCACAAAAAAGCATCAGTTTCACTACCATGGCTATAATGAATATCTTGTTATCAGCACTTAGTTACAAAGTGCCACGCGTATATACTATTCTTTTTCCTCACAAGTTTGGCAAGACAGATTCGCCTTTTTAGAGATGAGGAAACAGAGGCTGAGAGGTAATGGGACTTGCTCAGAGACACAGAGCTAGTGAGTAACACAAATGGCACTTGAAAAATCAGTCTTCTAATTCCAAATCCACCTCACTGTTAGAGACAACTGAAACCATGCACTGTGAATATAAGCAAAATTTAAAGTAGAATAAAGTTTATGGAAGATAGTTTAAGTTTTTAAAACTTACAACTCAAATACTCTTAAGTGTATATATACTGAAATTAGAACTATTTTTACTTGAATAGATAAATGTGTATAACTGTCAAAAAGCATTAAGTAGTCTGAAGATGTTTCAGAAACAGCTGGTTCAGGATCCTTGATTACACTTACTCAGTATCAACAAGAACTCCACCTGTACAATGGCCTTTAACTCAGCTCCTATCCTAATACCATACATTTCAAGTGAGTAAAATGATTCATTCATTAATGTATTAAAAAATCTTGACTCTCACTCAGGTTCTCAGGCCAAGTATTTAGGATACAAAGATTTTTGAATGAAGCACAGTGTGTGCATCCTCAAGTTAAACTTTTTCACTGTGGTAACAGTACTTTTAAAAAATTAAAGCAAAACCAAAAATAAACAGGATAAGTTATCAAAAGTACCTTATATAAAACTTCTATAAATGGTAATAAATACTTATTAAACGTACCATTTTTCTCATGTATCTGTACAATGGAATTATAGGATTGTTGGGCTCTTGCTAGATTATATTGATTCTGAAAGAGAATTATACATTTTAAATAAAAATTATAAGTAGATGAAAATCATTACAAATAATTTATGGATGCATCACTACTATGCTTAAAAGAACACAGGAAACTGAATTATATTTCCATTTCAAAAATAATTTTCACTTAAAACCTTCATTTCTCAATTCCATTATTCTCCACCACTTTAGAGTAACAAACCAAAGTTGTACTACAATAGAAATCTATTTAAGCTTCACAGTTCATTTTTATAAATCCTCTTGCTACTGGACAAGTATAAAGCTTTATAGTTCTAGTGCCCCTCTCCACTATGAATCTAGGTAAAGAATGCTATTCGGACATGAATGAAACTCAAACTCTCTTTCTCATAACTTCCATTGAAACCCCCCCCCCCAAAAAAACCCCAAACCAAAAATCCCCCACAAAAAAACACCCCACCAAAAAAATGACAAAATATGACCTTTAGATAAGGTAACATAAGCCATCTTGCCATCTTGAGTTAAAATCTAAAAAATATCATAAGTGGCACCAAGGCATTACTAAAGGAGTCCTCTTTTGGTAGTCTCTTTAGATCCTCTTTTAAAGGACCAAATTTAGGATTAATTTTGTCTCTGTCAGTACAACTGAGCAACATCTTAACCTACAATATATCATGAGCATTCTTCATAGTGGCACACACCCATTATGTCATAGAATTTAATAATAAATTCACACAGCACAAGAATTGAAAATGTATAAAACATTCTAAGTGAAAATTCTCCTTCCTACCTGTCCTCCAATCATCCAGTTCCTCCTCTCATCCATCCTCCCTTTCTTACTCAAGTTACCTACTATTAGTTTCTTGTATCCTCTTAAGATTATATAAGAAAAGTCATGTATAGCTTATTGTTATTAGCCACCATCCCCTGCTTTTCCTCCCAACAAATGGTAGGAAGCATGCTACAGACACCGTTCTACCCCTTTTCTCACTTAATGTATCTTGGACCTTGTTTCCCATCAGTGTGCAAAAAGCTTAATCTTTGTTTTTTTTAAATCATGACATATTCCATTGCACGGAGAGTCAACTACTTTTATTAACCCCCAATGGGTGGACATTTAGGTTGTTTCAACATTTTGTTATTACAATTTTATAGTGAGCAACCCTGCACAAATATTTCCAAAGCACTGGTTAAAAAGTCCTTGAGTGGAACTGCTGGGCCAAAAGACACGTATGCCTTTGTAATCTTGAGGTGTTGCTAAGACAGCTCTCTACAAGACCGCATAAATGGGCTTGCCTGCCTGCCACGTGTGAGAATGCCTCCACACGGCTTCACCAGTGATCTTACCAACCTTTGTTACCTCTGACAGTATCAGAGGTGGAAGAGGAACATAGTGTGGATTTGATTTGCATTTCTATTACTGACTGAGGCTGTCTCCAAATGTTCACAAGCCATTTATTTCTATTTCTGCAAATGGATGTTTTATAACTTTTTCTAGAGTATAGCCTTTTTCAATTTCTTTTTTTTTTTAAAGGTTTTATTTATTTATTTGAGACAAAGAGAATGAGAGAGAGAGAGCACATGAGAGGGGGGAGGGTCAGAGGCAGAAGCAGGCTCCCTGCCGAGCAGGGAGCCCGACGCGGGACTCGATCCAGGGACTCCAGGATCATGACCTGAGCTGAAGGCAGTCGCTTAACCAACTGAGCCACCCAGGCGCCCGCCTTTTTCAATTTCTAAGAGCTCTTTAAAAATAGTAAAACCCTCCCATAATGCATCTGAAAAACAAACATAAAACATGCCGTAGTGTTATCTCCAAGTTAATGAAAAGTAGTGTTTTTTAGTCGGTCTATATGTTCAAAGGACAAAAATACAAGAGAAGGAGATTATATATGACAAAATACACATACATTGAAACTTGCAAATGATCAAGAAGCAGTCACTTCCTAACCCTACTGCCCAACTACAAGATAAGAACAGAAAAATAAGAACATTAGCCTTCCCCATTCTCTGTTGTCAAGAGCATGATCTTCAATTCTAGTTTAAAGAGAATGTCACTGCAGAGGCCTTCCTGTAACAGGGAGTTAGCCCTTTCCGTTTTCTACTTCCTTGACCTTATTAACCCTTTCCTTCCACTTTCTTTCAGCTTACTTGATTGTCCTTTCTAACACGGAGTTAGAGGCTTGGTTCATTTTTATTCTTTCTTTCTTTTTTTTTTTTTTAATGGATTTTAAAGCAAGGAGTATTCCCTGTGAGCTCTCATTTAATTTCTAGTATGCGGTGATTTCATTATTGCTGTTCTCTAGCTATTCTGCAGTTTTCATTTCAAAGCCTGGTTAAGGACTTCATTTGAGTTTCATAATTCCACAAAAGGAACATTTGTTTTCTGATTTTATTATTATAGTTTTTAATTTAATTAGGATCAGAAAATGACATCTGTCCTTTTCTTCATTGACCAGGATTAGTTTCATGAATGTTCCAGACAGAGAGAGAGAGATGATAGAGGGAGAAAGAGGAGAGAGAAGGAAACAGGGACAGAAAGAAAATTTTAGTATTGCCATTATGGTTCATTTCTAATTATTTTTAAAATTTCATATGATTTTTTAACCATGATTTAGAATTATGTTTAATTACCAAATTCACGTGGATTTTTATTAATTTTTTCATTACTGACTTCTAACCTTAACTGCATTGTATTCAAATTCTATGGGTTGTTTTTAAATATTAATTTATGATTTTTTCCCCATATTCCATAAATGCTTGGAAAGATGTAGTACCTAACTACTGGGCACAGTATTCTACTATTGTCCATGTGACCAAGCTTAATTTGTTATTCAAATCTTCTACATTTTTCACACATTTAACTTATCATGAACAGGTACATTAAAATCTCTCATTATGATGGTGACTTGGTCAGTTTCTCTTGTGGTTTCACCAGTTTTTAACTATAGTCAACACACAATTATTACTATATTAGTTTTATTTACCAGGTTTTAATCTGTATTTTGATGCTATTTTAATAAGCAAATAATTACTATATCCTCCTGGTTGAGACTTTTATCATTAAGTAGTCACTAATGCTTCCTGCCTGAAAATTCTACTTTGATACTAATATGGCTATATCTTTTTTTTTTTTAAGTGTATACTGGCATTATCTTTACCATCCTCTCCTTAAAAACAAAACTTTTCAATCTTTTTCTAGCCTCACAATTTTTTTTAAAAGATTTTATTTGAGAGAGAGAGAAAGCATGCGTGAGAGAGAGAGAGAGAGAACACAAGCAGGGGGAGGGGCAGAAGGAGAAGGAGAAGCAGGCTCTTCACTGAGCAGGGAGCCTGATATGGGGCTCGAACCCCAGGACCCTGGGATCATGACCTGAGCCAAGGGCAGAAACCCAACCGACTGAGCCACCCAGGCACCCCTCTAGCCTCACAATGTAAACACACTTCTTAAAAACTGCTAGATTTTGCTTTATTAATTCAATCTAACTGGTAACTTCAGTCCATTTATACTTGTGACTTGCCTTTACCACCTTACTTTCTGGTTTCCATTTCTCTTGTTGTTTAAACATAATTTTTTTATCTCCTCCTGGAGTTCCAATAAGACATTTTAGACCTCAATCTGATCACCACCTCTCAACTTCTACCATAAGGTCTATTCCCATGTTGCTTTCTGTACAACATTCTGATTTACTTCTTCTAGCCCAGCTGGTATCTTTATAATCATCATTCTGAACTCTAGTTCCGATATCTTACTAATGTCCGTATTGATTAGGTCCCTGGCAGTCGTACAACCTCTTGTTCTTTTTTTTGAGGCGAGTTTTTCCATCTTATCATTTTGTCCAGAGGAGAATAGATGAATGAGAGAAAATGCTAAAAGGGTAACAACGACCCCAGAAAAACATACACTTCCAGAAAGTGGTTGCTTTTCTGTTCAGAGTTGCTGCTATTCTTTTCTTCGATTTCCTGTTGAGTTTGTAGGTGTTCAGAATGGTTTGATACCTATCTAGCTGAATTCCTGGGACCAGATGAAATTTAGGTCTCCTACTCCTCTGCCATCTTGCTCCTCCTCCTGATTTACTTTCTTTCTTTTTTTCTTTATTTTTTAAAGATTTTATTTATTTATTTGACAGAGAGAGAATGAGAGACAGAGAGCACGAGAGGGAAGAGGGTCAGAGGGAGAAGCAGACCCCCTGCTGAGCAGGGAGCCCGATGCGGGACTCGATCCCAGGACTCCAGGATCATGACCTGAGCCGAAGGCAGTCACTTAACCAACTGAGCCACCCAGGCGCCCCCTGATTTACTTCTTCTAATCAATTAATTCTCCCTTCTGATACCTAACCCATCTATTGTTTCTCATTTCAATTATATTTTTCATTTCTATAAATTCTATTTCATTCTTTTTCAGATTTGTCTGATTATTCCTGATGGTCTCACTGCTTGATCAATTTTAGGATTCCTTTTTTCTTTTTCTTTACATTTAATGTTTTTCAAATAACTATTCATTTTCTCATAACTCTAATATCTGAAGTCTTTATTCTGTGTGTCTGATAATTCCAAAACGTAAAGTCTTTGGGAATATCTCATTTATTGTTTCTGCCAATTCTCATGTATGCTGGCTTACTTGTGTGCTTGTGATCCTTCAGTGGATTCATATTTGCTTGATCTTAACCTTTAAGAATCCTGTAGGTCTAAATCAGAAAAGCTTTCCTCTGAAGAGTATCTGTGTCTGCTTCTGATGAGAACTGTGGATACAACTAACTTGAGAGCATTTTAGCCTCCTTGGAGAATCTCAGGATTATGCAAGGTTCTCACATTTGGCTTGCCAAACTTGCTCATTTATAAATAAAAGACTTAGTACAGGTAGCACCTCCCCCTCTCCCTGGAATAAAAAACTAAAAACCAGATCTCTCATCTGAATGGGATCACTCACCAGAGAATTCTGTAGGTAAATAATTGGGCAACATGGAAGGATAGGTGTCTTTCCTGATGGCAGAAATAGTTTGGGAGTTGCTCCAAGAGTTGTGTGTTCTAAGATTTCACTATTTACCTCAACTATCATGCACTCCACTCCACGTGGTGAATGAACATTTTCAAGGGCACTACCTTGCCTATCCAAACCCTGAATTCTTGCTAAGTCATGAGAGCAGGACTCTACTTTAGAAGGCTTTCTCACCACTAAAGCCTAGAGTTAATGTTATAGCCTATAGCCCATGTTAACCGACCAGAAAACCAGCCTGGCCAACATCCTTCTGCCTCATGGCTTGCTCTCAGCTCCTGCTGGCTGAGCCTAGGGGAGCAAGCTAATGGCAAGACTGTACAATGACTCTGGCCTGCACAGAGCTGCAGATCCTTAGCAATATCAATTTGACCCTTTCTCCAAATTTCATGTGTACTGAGGCAATTTTTTTGTTTTCCAGGACTTATGTATATCATTTTAGTAATATTTTCAAGAGACAAACTCATTCATTTCTTTTGAACCAATAGCTGATATATCTTTAAAAATATTTCAGATATTTTTGAAGTAGTAGTTATATGTCAAAAAGAAGTTCAAAGAGCACAAATGATTCAAAGTCTCCCTCCCATCTCTAACCCGCCCCACCAATATTTCAATACCCCTTTATCAGAAATAGTTGTTAGTACTTTCTTGAATATCTTTATAGATGCTTAAAAAAAATCTATATAATAGATCCTTGTCTCTCTCTCTCTCACACACACACACGGTAGCATATTTTTAAACACCATTTAGCATGTTATTTGACAGTATTTTTAAAGTTAACATTCAGACTATTTCCTGTAGAATTTAAAATCCTTTAAGGTAAAACTCCTATTACATCATATAAAGTTTCCATATTCTTTTTTTTTTTTTTTTTTTTAGGAATTATTGGGTTTTTTTTTAAGATTTTATTTATTTGACAGAGAGAACACGAGAGCAGGAACACAAGCAGGGGAGTGGGAGAGGGAGAAGCAGGCTTCCTGCTGAGCAGGGAGCCTGATGTGGGACTCGATCCCAGGACCCTGGGATCATGACCTGAGCCGAAAGCAGACGCTTAACGACTGAGCCACCCAGGTGCCCCAAGTTTCCATATTCTTAATGATATTTATTAATAAGAAAAAAAATTGAAGAGTGAAGTTTTATAACAATGCATTCAAAAAATTCACCTAAGACATACTTTAATATGCAAATGTGCTCAGCTGCCTGATTTAACATTAATGGTTCTATTATTTACTTGCTAAGAAACCTACAAATCATGGACATGTAAAAGTTGAAAGCAATTCTACTGACACTGAGTAATTCCAAGGGAACTGTGGCACTGAACGCAGCATTGATATTACAGAATTTTAAAGCTAGAAGAGACTTAAAATATCCAGACCAACTGTATTTTAGATAGATACAGACACCCAGAACAGGTAACTTTACACAGTGAATTATCAGTAAAATGTTCACTTACTCAAAACAATCATTGTTCTAAGCCTTTTACATTTTCTTTAACAAGAAAAGTGTGCTAATTTTTCTTAAAAACATGATGAAATTTAACATCAAGTTCTACATACAAATAAATGTCAGGAAGAAGTTTTATTAAAAGACGAGAATTATACCAAATGTCAATAGTATTTCTAGATAGTCAAAATTACAGATGACTTCAGTTTTTTGTATTTTTTTTCTGTTAGAAACCATACAGTGAGCATAAATTTTATCATTACAAAAAAATAAAATTTGATGTCTTACTACATAATCACTCTACTGACACGTTTAATACACCTAAAATATACACACTGTTAAGAAATGCTAGTTAATGTAGTTAAGCAATTCACTAGACTTTATATAAAAAATGTTCTGTTTCAGTGTAAAGAAATAGCTGTTAAAAGAACTCAAGTAAAACAGTTATTCTACAGTACTATCCCAAATAAATGATTTTCATAATAACTTTTTCAATTTTTTGCTTCCTCTGTGAGTTAAGATTCTAGTGGACTCATGCTTTAATGTGCAATACAGTTATAAATACACATTTAAATTTCATACTATTTGGGTAGGCATTTAGCACAAAATTCACACAGGCTTTTAGGAACATCCAAATTTTTTAATATGTTAGGTCAGGATAATTTCCATCAACAAATATTTTTGTAAAATATACTAAATTTAGAGTATTATCCTTGGTCCATTTAACTATTTACAGATAACTACAATCAGACACGGAAAGAGGTTTCTGCCATCATGAATAAAGAGCAGAATTCCATGGGTAAGAGCAGAGACTAACACCAGACTGTCTGGTTCCAATCCACGTTCTGCCCACTGTCACCTTACACAAATTATCTAACTTCATGTGCAAAATGAGGACGATAAGAATATCTACTCTTAGGTCAGTAAAAAGATTGAAATAGTACCTACAAGTGAAAAGTTTGGATCAGAGCCTCACATATAAATGCTCACTGGGAATTAACTATAATAACATGATCTCAATTTCAGGAAACTTCGAAGTACATATAATTTTTAACTTATTAGTATGTACATACCAGTAGTAGATTTAAAATTATAAACATGCTTACCTATAGTAAGAATAACAAAGACTAAAAGAATAAGAAGAAGCCTCATAAGGGAACAGAAAATACATACTATCATTTATGTGATCTTCTTAATAAAAGTACCTTATTTGCTCCAAACTGCACTCTGGCTTTGCCTTTGACTAACGTGGCATTGATTTGCATGATAACTGACTCTATTGAGTAGGCACTGCTCCAGCCCTACAGGAAGAAAACACTTCTGTAAAATACAATGGTACTCTTGATTTCCACTTTGGAAAACTTAATAAAATGGCACATAACAACTTGACAACAGCAAGACAATGTTAAGAAGTCTGTACACAAGAGAAAAAAGTAAAGTTGGACTGTTTCTAAAATCTCGTAAAACAACAAAAAAAACCCCTATGTTCTAAGTATCAAACATAAGCAAATTATAACCTTATAGAAACATTGCTCTTAGAACACCTCTCCTTGCACAGATTAAGCACCAAGTACAATGTCATTTTATTGGTTTGCCCTAAGTAGACTTTCATTATAAAAAGCAGGTGTTCAAAACAATTTTTTTAAGTAGGTGGTATTACATCAGAGCTTTTCCACTCAGAATCTAATTTACATCATCAAAACACTCCACTGAGATTGAAAAATGAGTACTATAAGAAAATAGTCACCTGTTTTGTGAGAAGTTCCATACATAGTGCTCCACCGCCCAACACATACCTTAAAAAGAGAAAAGGAATCCTATTTAATTCTCTAGATCTCAATGTTCCTTCTTATATTTTAAAGGACCACCACTAAGAAGTATGCATACAAGTAAAGGTTAGACGATAACATGCAAAAATGAGAACAGTGGTTAGGGTTCTAGGACTAAAAGGGTAGTTAAAAAAAATTCTAATGTCATCACTTTATTATAGTCTTAATTTTTTTTTAAATAATGGTTCTTAGAAACAGAATACTTGAACACTCTAAGGATATCAGAAACTAGGACCTTAGCCCTAAATATTCCACAGAATGGGAATGTTATATTCATCTGAAAATTTCTCTGCCATCATGTTAGCCAATGGCACCAACTTTACCCTATTTATAATAATGAACAGGACATGGTATTTTATGGTTAAATTGCTTTTATCCATACTTTTGTGAGGATCAAATGGTTATGACCATAGAGCCTCTCTCCGGGATTCCTCAATTTCTCTTTCTAATCCTGAGAACTGTTCTCTGAACCAGATTTTTGGGAATTTTCCAGATCTCTCTTAGGAAACCCTTATTTAGATCAAGATTATTCAACCTTTTAACCCTTTCTCAAACAAAATAATTTCATTTCTCCTTTAATGTTAAACTTCAAAATATATGAAATATTATGCCTTAAAATAACATCAAGGGAATGATAATTATAGAACACAGACTGATAAATCTTGAAAATACGTAAGCTAAGACCACAAGTCTGATTAGATCTAAGTGAACACCGAGTCCATTACAAACTTTTTTGTCCTCTGGGACTTTGCCCATGCCTTTTCCCTTGCCTGACATTCCTTTGGCTCCCTACTCTTCCAAATGCCATCTTTTCCTCCAATAAAACTTGCCAAGACCATTCTAGTCTGTAGGTTTTGCCTTCTGGCTAGCCAAACACATCCTTATGTTGACTAAACCAAATCACAGAAAAGTAAGGAATCTAAAAACTTCTACTGTAGACCATTATCATTAGTTATAGTGAAATTATTCAATAATGGAAATTATTCAATAATTCCCCACATCCTGGAGAATTTAAGTCAGTGTCTCCCATACTGGACTGCACCAAACTCTGGGAACTTCCACAGTTAATGTTTATAGGAGGGAAAGAAAAACACTTCAAAACACTAAATCTGGGTGGAGAATCAGGAAATTTTAAGCTTCTTTGTATATTCTCCTAGGTCTCTAAAACACAGAAATCTATCTCCAATTTGAATTTGAATCTCCCACTGGACTCAAAGAGTATCTTGTATATAGTGACTTTAAATAAGCACTTCTTGATTTAACAGAATTAGAAGATCCATGTTTGCATTTGGATTGTGGTTTCTCCACAAATTGCTCAAACTCTAGTAATCTGTTAATGAGTTAACACTATTCTTGATCCTTATACTTCAGAAATGCTAAATACAGACAGGGGCTCAGGGACTGATCTTAAGAAAAGGAGTTATATAGACCAGCCCGAGTTTCCAATTATCTAACTGCCACCTTTCTCTTTAGCACTCCACTCTTCATTCTGGGGGTGGAGAGTCTTTCAGGTGAAGGAGGCAAGTTTTTGTACTCACGGGCCAAAAGAAAGTACATTTTCTAAAAGGCCATAACTACACAAATGTTTGTTGGATGTCTAAACTAAAGAAACAGTTCTAGTACCTACATAAAAAGTGAGGTAGGCAAACTTTTCCTTAACACACACTATTAGCAACATGTACACCCAAAAGGAGTGGTTGATTCTACCTCCATATTGAGTTATATTCATTTTATCAATGTATGTTCCAAACCCTTATTGCTCTTTGCCTCCAAACAAATAGTTCCTGCTAAATTTTTTTTTTTTTTTAAAGATTTTTATTTATTTGACAGAGAGAGCACAAGCAGAGGGAGAGAGAGGGAGACGCAGGCTCCCTGCTGAGCAAGGAGCCCGATGTGGGACTCGATCCCAGAACCCTGGGATCATGATCTGGGCCGAAGGCAGGCGCTTAATTGACTGAGCCACCCAGGCATCCCAGTTCCTGCTAAATATTGAGACAATTCAAGGATAGTAGGAAGAAAAAAAAAAAAATCCAAAGATCATTTAAAGATAATATGCCACATACGCCGGCATAGTAGTGTTTTTTTTTTAATTATGTTATGTTAGTCACCATATATTACATCATTAGTTTTTGATGTAGTGTTCCATGATTCATTGTTTGTGCATAACACCCAGTGCTCCATGCAGAACGTGCCCTCTTTAATACTCATCACCAGGCTAACCCATTCCCCCACCCCTCTCCCCTTTAGAACCCTCAGTTTGTTTTTCAGAGTCCATAGTCTCTCATGGTTCGTCTCCCCCTCCGATTTCCCCTCCTTCATTCTTCCCCTCCTGCTTAAAAACAAACAAAAAAAACTTCAGTTGTGAGGTACCTGGCTGGCTCAGTTGGTGAAGTGTGCAACTCTTGATCCTGGGGCTATGAGTTTGAGTCCAGCACTGGGTGTAGAGATTACTTAAAAATAACATCTTTTGGGGAGGGGGGTGGGAGGATGGGTTAGCCTGGTGGTGGGTATTGAGGAGGGCACATTCTGCATGGAGCACTGGGTGTTGTGCACAAACAATGAATCATGGAACACTTCATCTAAAACTAATGATGTAATGTATGGGAATTAACATAAGAATAAAAAAATAACATCTTTTTTTTTTTTAAGATTTTATTTATTTATTCATGAGAGAGAGAGAAGCAGAGGCAGAGGGAGAAGCAGGCTCCCCGCAGAGCAGGGAGCCTGATGCGGGACTCGATCCCAGGACCCTGGGATCATGACCTGAGCTGAAGGCAGACGCTTAACCGACTGAGCCACCCAGGCGTCCCCAAAATAACATTGTTAAGAAAATCAAAACCTTGGGGCGCCTGGGTGGCTCAGTCGGTTAAGCGTTAAGAAAAAAGAAAAACAAAACCAAAACCAAAAAACAAAACAAAAAAACACCCAAAAAAACAAAAAAAATAACTTCAGTTGCCAAAGTTGTATAGCAAAACACTATCCTAAAGCTTAGCCTCTTCAGGCAATTCATAATTTTCGTTATACTAGGAAATCCTGGCAATAATGTTTGCTAGCTAACCTCCCCATCCACAAACTAGAATGATCACTTAAATTGCACAGATGAGGGGGCAAGAGAAACCATTTATCAGTACTAAAGTGTTTATACAACATGAGTAAGTGATCCTAAAAAAAGAGGTGGAAAATGTAAAAGTTTTATATTATAGCCAAATTGTTGACAATAATCATATTAAAAAAAACGGGGGGGAACGCATACACAGGCCACATAAAACAGTCAAGACCCTCCCCTTTCTTGAGGTAAGGAAATAAACTATAGACTGTAAGAGCAGAACTTTTAGATAGAAATAAAGAGAAAATGCTGGCACTTAAAACCAGACTATTAAGGACATGTTCCCTTAATACAGACAGAAACAATCCATGGTCATCTAGAAGTAGAAATATTCTCTTCATGGATGAATGGGGCACAAATAATAATTCATATTACATCAACCAATAAACCATTTTCAGTTGCCTACAAATAGCCACTCAAAATGTACTAATAAGCTAAAAAAGAAATAATCTTTATGATTCTCAAGTTACTACACTCTGATCTGAACTAAGCAAGAAAGACAGACAAGTACTGATGGCTCATTAAAATAGCTCATAAAAATACCAAGCCTTGGGGGGGGGTGCCTGGGTGGCTTAGTTAAGCGTCTGACTTTGGCTCAGGTCATGATCTCAGGGTCCTGGGACGGAGCAGTGAGTCTGCTTGTCCCTCTGCTCCTCCCCCCACTCGTGCACAGGCTCTCTCTCAAATAATTAAATTTAAAAAAAATTATTAAAAAAATAAAACAAGCCTGGGAATTGCAGATTACCCTAAACTGTCTATATCTTGCTAATTTACTGTAATTCCCTCTCGTTCATGGACTCACAAATATTCACTGCACATATATATACTACACACTGAGCCAGGCAAAGTATACACTGAAGAAAACTGACAGGACCCTGTGCTTCATGATGTTTACCATCTAGTTAAGATTACAGATGTTAAACAAATAATACAAAGTAGGGAAGGGGGACCCAGACTTCTAGGAGAAGGAATAACGGGGGGGGGGGGAGGCTTTTTAAAAATGTGGTAGTCAGAAACAGCATCTGTACGAGTAATGCACAAGTTGAGATTCATTGGAGTTAAAAGTGTGGGTGGGAGTAACCTCCCAGGCAGAGGAATGTCTGTTAAAGAAAGCTTATGAGGAAAAAAAGAGTTTGCTGGGTACTGGGGGCTGAAAGACGTTCAGTGGGGCACCAGCTTTGACAGGAGAAGTGTGGTACAAGAGGATTAGAGAGGAAGCCAAGGGCAACATCACAGACAGCGTGAAGAATATGGTAAGAGCACCAACCTGTAAGAGCAATGGAAAGACATGAAAGAGTTTAGCAGGGGAGCAACAGAATCAAACACATATTTAAAAAAGATCACTTTAAAAGCTTACATGAGGGAAAGAACACAAGCAGGAGCGTGGTCAGAAATCCTCTGAAATGGCCACGTGAGAACTGATGATAGCCGCAACAGAAATGGAGACAAGTAACTGGATCTGGGAACTCTCGGAGAAGGAGGAGAATTAGAGGACCAGATGTGGGAAAGAGGGTATAAAGGAAAACTCCTATATTCAATAACTGAGACAGGGAACACCGGGAAAGGAGACTGGAAAGAAGAGGATTTCAAGTTTTCATGCTATAGAACTGGAGATGCCTACATTCAAGTAGACATGTCAAGAAGGCAGGTAGAGGAGGGGTGGAGCAAGATGGCAGAGGAGTAGGAGACCTGGATTTCGTCTGCTCTCAGGAATTCAGCTGGATAGGGATCAAACCATTCTGAACACCTAGAAACTCAAGAGGAGATCGAAGAAAAGAATAGCAACAACTCTCCAAACAGAAAAGCGACCATTTTCTGGAAGGTAGGACGAGCAGAGAAGTGAATCCGAGGCGATGTTCGG